ACTGCTTACAGACTTCTCGGCGCTTGGTGTCGGCGCTTACTGCCTACCCAGGTCGCGTCTTGCGGGATGCCGCGGCTGCTCTGGGGTGAGGAGGAGCAGGTCGGCGCCCGAGGCGCGACGTGGCAGGCCCGCTCATCCGGCGAGTCCAGCGGGAGGGCTGCGTCCACACCTGCTCCTTCCATCCCCGCCACGGGGCGACTCTCCGGAGCCCGCAGCCTTGGCTCGCCAAGGGGGCAGCAGGAAACCCCATCCTCGGTGGGCCTCTAGCGGCCTTCCTCCCTTTAACCCTGGTGGGACTTAGTGCTCCGCCGGAGCCAGCACGCAGCCTTCTCCGGCCTGGCCGAGAGCGCTCATGCGCCTGTACTGGGCCTGGAGCAACTCGCCAGCGTAAAAACTTTTTTCTGTATGGTTATATGGGTCCACGTTCTTGCTCCTTCCTTTAAAAATAAATCTCAAGATTAAAATTCAGGGCGCAGTAATATGTTTATTACACAAGAAACAAATTTAAGGCCGGGACGCGGTGGCTCACGGCTGTAATCCTAGCACTCTGGGAGGCCGAGGCAGGAGGATCATTTGAGCTCAGGAGTTCAAGACCAGCCTGAGCAAGAGTGAGAACCTGTCTCTACTAAAAATAGAAACAAATTAGCTGGGCAACTAAAAATATATAGCAAAATTAGCCGCGCATGGTGCACATGCCAGTAGTCCCAGATACTGGGGAGGATGAGACAGGAGGATCGCTTGAGCCCAGGGGTTTGAAGTTGTGAGCTAGGCTGACACCACGGCACTCTAGCCTGGGCAACAGAGCAAGACTCTGCCTCAAAAATAAATAAATAAAATAAAATTCCAGAAGCAGTAATATGTTATACAAGAAACAAATTTAGCATTATATTTGAAGATCCAAATATCAAAAAAAGGAGAAAAAATTGAAGTGATTTCTTCATTAAGCATAATAATAAAAGCTTATCACTGTGTCAACAGAAAAGAAGCCAAACTCTGTAAAATAATTTAAAGAGGCTTATTCTGAGACAAATTTGAGGACCATGGCCCAGAGCCACGCCCAAGAAGCCTTGAGGAAGGTGGACTTGCTGTGGGTTCATCACAGTTTGGTTTTATACATATCAGGGAGAAAGGAATTACAGGTAAAGTCACAAAAGTACATGGAAGTCATAAAGTACATGGAAGGCACACATTGGTTTGGCCAGAAAAGGAACATCACAAAGTGGGGGCTTACAGGTTATAGGTGAGTTTAAAGACTCTTTGACTTGTAACTAAATAAATGAAGCTTTGTCTAAAAGCTCAGAATGTTTTAAGTTAAAGTTTTTTAAATCAGAGACAAGCTACTGGCGTATATTTGTGTAAAATTAAGGACTTGCAGGTTTGTTTTGTCTGTGTAGCTTGAGCAGCCTTGTTTGTTGACTTGTGGTCCAGCGTTGTCTTGGAAGAGCACTGGCCTGTCTCTGTTGACCAATCTTGGCTGTTTAATCACAAGCAGCCTCATCATTCCATCCAACTGGTTACGGTAGACATCCACTGGAATCAACTGCCCAGGTTTCATGAAGCTGTAGCGGGTAATACCAGCGCTGGACCACCAAACAGACACCTTCTTCTTCTTCTTTTAATGAATATTCGGTTTTGGACTGTGTTTCTGCACTTCACCTTTATCCAGTCACTGTGCTGAATGCGTGCAATTGTTAAAAAAAATCTATTTTTTTCCTGGTTAGCAATGCCAAAATAAAGAAAAAATCTATTTTTTATCACACATTAACAATGTGGTGTAGAAATGGTTCGCCTTTAAGTCTGAGGGCAAAGAAAGGCGAGCTTCCAGTTTTTCTTTTGACGGTTCCCCTATGTAGTACCCAGCCTCCTCACCTGTCGATTTGTTTTAAATGGTCTAATATTGTTGGAATAGTAACCTCAAACCTTGTTAATTTATGCGTGGGTTGGCATGAATTCACTTCCACTACAGTGTTTAGTTATCATTATCCACCTTGGTCGATCTCAGAGGTCACCCGGGGTCCCCGGCGCCCCCTGTCTGGGCTTGGGCAGGCGTCACCCGGGTCCGCGGGCCGACACCTGTCCAGGAGTCAGTTCCGCTCGCAAACTGGACGGCGCAGGGACTGGCCGCCAACCTGCTCGCTCTTTAAACCGCACCGAGCCGGGCGCGCGCTCCTAGTGCGCAGGCGCGTCCCACGGGACCGCCCCGCTCGGGAGCGCGCGCTTCCGGTGGCTCGGCGACAGCGCGCAGCCTCCGCAGTGCCTCGGGCGGTTTCGGCTCCTCCCCTGGTGCCTGAAGATCTCAGCCGCTAACGCCTCCTGGGCCGGCCGGGAGCGCCCACGCCTTCAGCACCGGGGGCGGCGAGGACCAAGCTTACGGCGCACGGTCCCGAGGCTGCGGCGCCTCGGGGGGCCGGGCGGGGAGGTGGCGCCACCGCGCGACGGCCTGGCGCGAGCGTGACGTCAGGCGCGCGGCCGCCGATTGGCCGCAGCATGTGGCGCGGGCGGGCGCTGGCGCAGGCCATTGGGCGAGCGGCCCGGGGGCGGGGCCGCGGAGCAGTCGGCGCTGAGAAGAGACGCGCGCCGGGTCGGGCCGGCGTCTGGGCCCGGAGGCCGCTGAGGTAAGCGGTCAGGTGAGGACAGAGGGGACCGGTGACACGCGAGACGAGATGGGGGTTACGGGGGACGAGGTGGGGAGTCAGGAGACGAGATACGGGCCCGAGGGCACAGGGGCGGGGCGGGGGTCCCGGCCCTGCAGCTGTGCCCGTCCGTCTGGCTGGAGGGCCCGGGGGCAGGGCTCGCCTGGGCACCGTCCGGGAGGGGTGGCGAGGGGTCTTGCCGCGGGTGTCGGACGGGACCTGCAGGTGCTCGCGAGCCTGCTGGACAGATTTTTGGGGCTGAGTCTGTAGGAACCGTTTCTCTTCAGCTCCAGGCATTTTAGACTTTGACATCCTTCTGTCAGTTAAAAAAAAAAATTGGACCACCATCAGCTGAGCTTTATTTAGTAAAATACCGAATTCGAAGTGGGTCTCAAGAGACTTTATCAAGGTATGATTCTCCGTTTTGTAGAAATTCAAAAATAAAACACAAGTTTAGTACTCATTTTATCTTAGGAAGTTTAAATCTCAAGGTGTAAATTATAAAAAATGTGCAGAGCACTGTGATTTGGAACATTGTCGTCTAATAATTCTGTAGTTATAGCAATCTACTTTAGTGATGGTTTAATATAGGCGGCCCTCCGCATTTGCGGGTTCCAGATTTAAAAGTTGCATCTGGGGCTAGGCGTGGTGGCTCACGCCTGTAAATCCTAGCACTCTGGAAGGCTGAGGTTCTGGAAGCCGGATAGCTCAAGGTCAGGAGTTGGAAACCAGCCTGGGCGAGAGCGAGACCTTGTCTCTACTAAAAATAGGAGGAAATTAATTGGACAGCTAAAAATATATAGAAAAAAATTAGCCGGGCGTGGTGGCGCATGCCTGTAGTCCCAGCTACTCGAGAGGCTGAGGCAGGAAGATCACTTGAGCCCAGGAGTTTGAGGTTGCTGTGAGCTAGGCTGATGCCAGGACACAGTAGCCTGGGCAACAGAGACTGTCTCAAAAAAAAAAAAAAAAGTTGCACCTGTACCGAACATGTACAGACTCTTTTCTTGTCGTTATTCCAGTGTAACAACTATCTACATAACATTTACATTGTGTGAAGTATTATAAGATATCATCTAGACATGATTTAAAGCAGGTGTCCCCAACCTATGGGAGTTGTTTAATTATTTCATTACATATTACAATATAATAATAGAAATAAAGTGTACAATAAATGTAATGCACCTGACTCATCCTAAAACCTTCCCCTCTCCGCGATCCATGGAAAAATTGTCTTCACTGAAAACAGCCCCTGGTGCCAAAAAGGTTGGGGACCTCTGATTTAAAGTACAGTCATGTGTTGCTTGAAGGACAAGTGAGTTCTGAGAAATGCCTCATGGGTCATTTTGTATCCAGTGAACACTTACACAAGCTAGATGGTCCAGCCTACCGCACACCTAGGCTACAAATCTGTACAGGTTGGTGCTGTGCTGGCTGCTGCAGGCAGTTGTAGCACCGTGGTAAGTATTTGTGTGTTGTGTCTAAACATAGGAAAGGTAATGCCTTGTGCTCTGGTGTCATGGTGGCTACAGTGTCACTGGGCAATAGGAATTTTTCAGCTCCATTATAATCTTATGGGACCACAGTCATATATGGTTGTCAGCCAGAACTTCATTATGAATTGCATAACAGCATACAGCAGGATATGCATAGGTAATATATAAATACTGTGCCATTGTACATCCAGAACCTGAGCATCCCCTGATTTTGGTACCTGTGAGAGGCCCAGGACACAATGTCCACGGACACTGAATGATGGCCATAAAACTAGTGTATAAAAGTTGCAAATAAATATTTTTTTTTTTTTTGAGACAGAGTCTCACTTTATTGCCCAGGCTAGAGTGAGTGCCGTGGCGTCAGCCTAGCTCACAGCAACCTCAAACTCCTGGCTCAAGCAGTCCTCCTGCCTCAGCCTCCCAAGTAGCTGGGACTACAGGCATTCGCCACCATGCCCAGCTAATTTTTTGTTATATGTGTATATATATATATATATATTAGTTGGCCAATTAATTTCTTTCTATTTATAGTAGAGACGGGGTCTCGCTCTTGCTCAGGCTGGTTTCGAACTCCTGACCTCGAGCAATCCGCCTGCCTCGGCCTCCCAGAGAGCTAGGATTACAGGCGTGAGCCACCGCGCCCGGCCTCAAATAAATATTTTTAAAATTAAGGCTAACTTTAAAGTAGATGTTTCCTTTTCACGGTATTTTTTTTCTGATTTCTTGTTTTAATCATTAAGTTCATTTTCAGTTTTTTGGTATTAAGTGTCTTTATTTTGGCTCTGACAGTCATCACTGACTCCTGATACTACACACACACAGCACCCCAGACCCTATTTAGGTCTAGGACTTTGTATTAAGTAGCTGTTTAAACACTTTGTTTACATTCTGTAGTATGGTGAACCCCGTTGAAAGAATTCCAGTAAATCTATATGTTTGAAAGAAAGTCACAAAGTAGGCCACATAGAATCTTCAAAATATATTGTGCGGAAAATCAAGAAGCATTGAGGGTGTTCTCTACATAAGGTGCTCTGCAAGACACAAAGGTTAGAGAGCTTATATAAAACTGCTGAATATAGATGTGCAAAAAAGTGTGAGTCAGGACATGGAAAGTGGGTTAAATTTAAATCCCATGGGAAGGATTAATTGGGGTTCAGAAAATTAAGGCTCAGTGCACTAAGATAGGGATGGGCCAAATGTGGCCCGCTGCCTGTCTCCGTTACGGCCTGTGAGCTAAGCCGTGTTTTTTTCATTTCTAAATGGTTGGAGAAGAAAAATGAGAAGAAGAAAATATTTCGTGACATGTGAAAATTAAGTGAAATTCACATTTCAGTGTCCGTAAATATTTATTAGAATATAGCCACCCCCGGTTTACACGTTGCCCAGTTTCGAGCTGCATGGTTCTCCCATTGCCTGTGGCTGTCTGAGTGTTACAAAGGCAGAGGTGACACTATCTGGCCCAAATCTCCCCTATGTATGTAGAATGGTGTCAACTATGCACTGCCTTGGGAGAGTTGACAAAAGAGCCACACAGATCCTTATTCTAATTAGGAGTCTGGGCTGAGAAAAACTGGAGTAATCCTACTGGGTCATTGGTAAAAGGGTTACTGACTGTTCGGCAGGTGAATTGCACCTTGAAGAAAGGATTCCAGCCAAGGTTGGTCTGTGGCTTTCTCCAGCATCTGTGCAGAGGCAGGCAGTGGCAGAACATTGGGCGAGGCTTTGGGAACACATCAGAGGGAAGAGAGAAGCCATCACGGAAAACAGGGTGGAAAGTGAGGCTGGGGCCATACCACAGCTGGACAGGTTCCTAAGGAAGAAGGATTGACTGTCGAGGCCTACAGAGGGTGTCAGAGGGCAAGAATTTAGAGGGGAACTTTGAGCTTGGCATTGAGGAGAGTGACTGATGAACAGCCTGCATGGTGGACTCCCCAGGTGGGGGTGCAGAGGGGGAGACTGCAGATGGAGCCGTACGTAGTTCCTCACCTCCCAAAGGAAGGGCCACATTGCTTATGGGGCTCAGAGAGCTGGAATCACTTCCCACTGTATTGAAATGACATTCGGAGAAACGTGAGATGATGAATGGCCTTCATCTTTCCTTTTAAACAGCGTGCTAGGTCAGATCCAACACTTTGTGACAATGCCTGAGATAAATACCAACCACCTTGATGAGCAGCAAGTCCAACTCTTGGCGGAGATGTGTATTCTCATTGACGAAAATGACAATAAAATTGGGGCTGAGACCAAGAAGAATTGTCACCTGAATGAAAACATTGAGAAAGGTACTATTTTCTTTGTTGAAAAGGGACCTGACTGGGCATTTCAGGTTAGCTGAGAGAATTACTCTGGCAGAGGACACACAGTTCTGAATGACGATTCAGGTTTCCCGAGAGAGGGAACAGACAGATCCTAGCACAGCAGCCGAGGGGCATTAATCCTTCCTTTCTTGTGTTGGAGAGAGAGGTGGCATCGTAAGCACCATTTTCCCAGGTGTGTAAGACTGACAGGGCCTGGGGTGAATGTTCCTGAGAGGAAGCTTGGCCGGCAGCAGCATGGCTGACAGGGTCACCTCTTCCTCTGCTCTGTGGCCGGGGCCAGTGGGCTCTACCCCGGCTGTGAGCAGACTGAAAAGGCAAAACCAGCGGCAAGTTACTGATGCTCTGCTGAGCCACAGGGGAACACTGGGCAGACAACTGATATTTTAAGACTTGGTTGTATTTTTTCTTTTTTATTTTTTTGCTTTCAGGGTTATTACATCGAGCTTTCAGTGTCTTCTTATTCAACACTGAAAATAAACTCCTGCTACAGCAGAGGTCAGATGCAAAGATCACTTTTCCAGGTGAGCTTCTTCACGTACAGGTTTTTTTGGTACATTTTATCACTCTGAACTTCCTAAAGCTAAGGTCCTATGAAGGACATAATTTCATATTCTATATAAAATAAGCGTATACAATGAATGTAACCTAAGAAAACAGTAAAGGATAAGAACTGCTAAGGGATAGGAGTGTGTGTGTGTGTGTGTGTGTGTGTGTGTGTGTGTGTGTGTGTGTGCATTTTTTTAATCTGTACCGTCTGCACATTTTGATGTTTTCAGCTAAGGAGGTATTAATAAAGAACTTATCTACAAATGTCTATTTCGCAAAATAATTACTGACAGCCCCTCATAACTGATTTTAGAATCCTAAAAAAATCATTCTTCTGTTACTCATAAAAGGTTTCTTTGATCTTTCAGACCTGCTTTGAAGGACAATTGACCTGTGTCTGTGTTAATGTTTTCCAGACTGTTTCACCAATACGTGTTGCAGTCACCCTTTAAGTAACCCCGGCGAGCTCGAGGAGAACGAGGCCCTGGGCGTGCGGCGGGCAGCGCAGCGGCGTCTGCACGCGGAGCTGGGCATCCCCCTGCAGGAGGTGCGTGCTCTGCCGCGCAGCCACACAGGCTGAGACTGGAACACGTGGCAGAACGTTGCATTCCGGGCGCAGGTCTCCGCATGGCCACCTGCTGAGATAGGAGTTAGCCCCAGACAGCACTTCGAACAAAGATTATTTAAATTCTGATTTCTTAGTATCACTTGTCAGAATTTAGCTCAGTGCTGAGATGGATTGATCTGTGAACCACTGTGTGAGCCTAATTTTCAAAGATGAATATTTTCTTACAGAAATCCTTATGATTATGAACTACAAATCTAATTGAAGCTTTTTTTTTCCTACAATTGTCTCCATTAAATGAGACCTAGATTTTAAAAAAAGGATCTCTTATCTAGTTAAAATGGTGAATTTTTTTCTCTGAAGAGTAATCTTAAAATATGAAGAATGTCACATTGAATGACCAGCCTTTTTTTTTTATTACTATTTCAAAAACATCAACTTTATATATTTGCTCCTATGGAAAAAAATGTAGACACTTGAAATAACAATGTAATAATTTTTCCATATATTGTCATTTTTATGTATCATTAATAGGAGATTAATACTTTAAAAGTTCTAATTCTAAAACCATATTGCTGTTCAAGATACTGCTCTAATGTCATAACTTAATTTTACTTTGTTATATTTTTAATGTGTTAGGTTCCTCCAGAAGAAATCAATTATTTGACACGAATTCACTACAAGGCCCAGTCTGATGGTGTCTGGGGTGAGCATGAAATTGACTACATCCTGTTTGTGAGGAAGAACGTGACGCTGAACCCGGACCCCAATGAGGTGAAAAGCTACTGCTATGTGTCAAAGGAAGAACTAGAGCAACTTTTGAGAAAAGCAGCCAGTGGTGAAATTAAGATAACACCATGGTTTAAAATTATTGTAGAGACTTTCCTCTTCAAGTGGTGGGATAACTTAAATCATCTGAGTCAGTTTGTTGACCATGAGAAAATACATAGAATGTGAAAATGTGGAGATGGATGGTTACTGCAGAATTTCTCCTCTGCATACACTTAGAATGACTTTTTAAAAAATTCCCTGGTTCCCTATCAGGAGAACTCTCAACACGATACGTTGATAATTTACTACTTGTGTAGAAAACACAACTAATAATTTTGTGTCATACGCCCTGGATCTATGCTCTATTGTAAAAGACAGTAGTGAGAGATTATTTTGTAAAATGAAGGACAACAAATAAAACTTACTTTAAGCCTCCAAACACGTGATTATGACAAATTTGAACAAGGAAGTGTGGCATTTTGGGAACACGTCAGAGCACTCTGCTGTTTGCCAGGTGCTTTGTGTTAGCATTAAATCTTACCGTACTTCAGAAAATGTGCAAAGGAAACCACTTGGCTACTTCAAAACAGTCCTAACTAACTTTCCACATGAACAGATTAAACTGGCAGAGCAGGTGCAAGGGAAATTAGATGGTGTAGATCCTAAGTTGATGTGATTTCTTCATTCTTAAAGTACTTAAAAATCAACCATTGCTTTTGGCAATGATATTGGTTGGGTTAGATCTTCTTTTAAATAGTATTTGCTGATTGGCAGGGTCTGTGCTTTCAGAGTTACAGTGGCAGACAGGCTGTTCACAGAGGGCACTGAGTCCTGCACGGTGGACTCCTCACCCGTGGCACCCCCTGCAAATGGCTGGGTAACTCTTGTGGGACCATGCTGTGCACCGTGCCCCACAGGTGGCCAGCAGCATCCTGTGCTCTGCATGCTGGGTGCCATGAGCACCCTTCTCCTGTGACAGCCAGTTGACACCAGTTGTCCCTGGGGGCCACACAGCTGAGTCACCCCAGCTGAGAACCACTGTTACAGTCAGGCCACAGTATAGGAGAGAAAAATAACAATGCGAAAGGCTAATGTTCATGTTATGTAGATTCAGTTCATGGGATGTGTGTATATTAATATTAATTGTACCTTGATTAATGCACTTTTTAAAACTTATTGGTAGATTTCTCAAATTTGAAATCTTAAAGACAGCTTTACTATCCTTAAATGCTACATAGTAATAATGAAGAAATAATTTATTTCTTACAAAAATAAATATTTTATAAATTCAATAAAATGATTCATTTTTTGGTAACCCTGAACAGTTAATTTATAATTTCAGGCAAGACACAAGTACAAGTGTTAAGGTTACATTTATTGCCCATGCCCCCCTCCCCCCTCGAGTAAGAGCTTCAAGCGTGTTCATCCCCCAAATGTTGCACATCTTACTCGTTGTGGTTGTATATACCCATCCCCTCCTCCCCCCTCCCACCCTCCTGACACCCAATAAATGTTACTCCTATATATGTCCACTTAGGTGTTGATCCGTTAATACCAATTTGCTGGTGAGTACATGTGGTGCTTGTTTTTCCATTGAGACTTTCTCTGTAAGTTGAAAGTCTCTGAACAGACTCAAATTCCAAAGTAGGTTCCATTTGTAGATTCCATCAACTGCTGTCCAGGTGGAGAGACAGATTTCTGGAACTTCCTATTCTACCACCTTCACTGATTATCACCTGGTTTTGAGTACCTTTTTTTGTGTGTGTGAGACAGAGTCTCACTCTGTTGCCCATACTAGAGTGCCTGTGGCATCAGCTTAACTCACAGCAACCTCAAACTCCTAGGCTCAAGCGATCCTCCTGCCTCAGTCTCCCAAGTAGCTGAAACTACAGGTATGCGCCACCATGCCTGGCTAATTTTTTCTATGTATTTTTAGTTGGCCAATTAATTTCTTTCTATTTATAGTAGAGACGGTGTCTGGCTCTTGCTCAGGCTGGTCTCAAACTCCTGAGTTCAAACGATCCTCCCACCTCAGTCTCCCAGAGTGCTAGGATTACAGGTGTGAGCCACTACGCCCAGCCTTGAGTACCTTTTTTTTTTGAGACAGAGTCTCACTTTGTTGCCCAGGCTAGAGTGAGTGCCATGGCGTCAGCCTAGCTCACAGCAACTTCAAACTCCTGGGCTCACGCAATCCTGCTGCCTCAGCCTCCCAAGTAGCTGGGACTACATGGCCACCATGCCCGGCTAATTTTTTCTATGTGTATTAGTTTGCCAATTAATTTCTTTCTATTTAGAGACGGGGTCTCACTCTTGCTCAGGCTGGTTTCGAACTCCTGAACTCGAGCAATCCGCCAGCCTCGGCCTCCCACAGTGCTAGGATTACAGGTGTGAGTCACCTCGCCCAGCCTTGAGTACTTCTTAATAGAACCCTTTCCAGCATATATACACAGATGAAAATGTTCACATATATACATACCTATGTATTAATATACGTGAAGATTTCACTTTATGTCCCCAAAATGTAATACATCATAAACACATTTGTGTGCAAAAAAGAAAAGCCTTGAATTATATTGCAAAAAGGACAGGAGACGGACACAGGCGGGTGTGCTTTGCAAGTGCTCCAGGTGGCAGCAGAGGGGACCTGCTAAGAAAGTGTCTTTGTTTTTACCTATGTATGATACAGGGTGGTGACAACGGTGCTGTTTTGTGGTAAAGCCATGCGTTAGGCCTTTAATGCTCTAGCATGTGCGTCTGAGACACTACACTGTGCTGGGGTTTGAGTTACATGCACTTCACAACTTCATCCATTTATAGTGATTTAAAACAGGCTCCCAGGAGGTGCTTTTGTGGCGGTTCTTTTGCTACTGAACATGCACTGGACCACTGAAATGGATGTCCACATTCAACTGCTGTGATGCCTTACGCCACATTTTATTTGGGTATTTTTGCCTTAAGACAAAAAAGAAATCTATTTTTTTTTTCATTTGGCCCAATCAACAGATTTTTAAGTAAACCAAAAAAAGAACCAAATAAATCAAAGCTTTCTTCTGGAGGTTTATTTTGGATATAATAGACTACAGTAAAACACATACAAAAATACTAGAAAATAATTTAATGAGAGTATTTTAAGCGTTGGGGTTGACACATAAAGCTGCTCCCTCCCAAGCCTGCGGCCCTCTGCACATCCACAGGGGAGATGCTTTCTTCAAAAAACGACCATTCGTGTGTGATGAAACAAAGTTCCCTCTCTGGAGAAAACTGAGGTTCTCTTCTCCATCAAAAACGGTCATCCCAATAAATCATGCCAGTCTGTAAACCTGAAGCAATCAATACTCCATCGAATGCAGAATCACCATCTACCAAAGTATCTGCAATATTATGCAGTGACAAAAACTTCCCTCATCTATAGGGTTAACTAGTTTTCAGCAAAGCAACAAGTGCTTCAGTTATATTGTTTTTGCCAGCTCATAGGTTATAGCCCCAACTTTATGAGCCATCAGACCAAACCATGACAGCGTCAGCCGCTCCATCTGGAAGTGCTGGAGGGACACTACCGCCTGTCCTTCTTGCCAGCTTTCCTCTTCCCAGAGAGCAAGTGCTTGGGCTTCATGTCAAACACGTGCCTGTCTGCCTCCCCCTTCCGCCCCAGGCGATTCATCTTCCTCTGCGCTTTCTTCATCATCGTCTTGGCCTTCTTCACCATCTGTGCAGGAGGGGAGACATAAAGTACCCTAATTACCAAAAGCCAAACCTCCACTGTACCTCAGTCACTGGTGGCGTCTGCTGAAGACACCCTGCGCGGTCGCGTGCACGGCTCTCTCACGTCCAGACTGCGGGAGCTCGATGACTCCTGTGCACAAACCGGACAAGGTCTCCGTCCAGGACAAGCCCTGTACCTAGAAGGCCGAGCACATCTAGGACGGCCTCTTACACAAACTAAGACACAGGCCCAACGCGAGCGATGCAGCCGCAACGCCCGGGTTTCCAGGTGGAATCGGCACGATGAGAAATACAGGCGTCCAGTCCAGGTTACAGACACTTTCTCCTCTACCTGAATGTTCAAAATGCTGAGACTGAATGTTTTCATGTTTAATAAGAAGACACTTTAGCAGAAGAGACTGGGTACATCTAACGTCTTTACCAAGATACTACAAATGATAAAAAAGTGACCCAAGCTATCATTTCGGGTAAAAAGATTTCGCACATTGTCGAAATTTCGCACAGAGCTGAATCACTAGATAATCGGCCCAAATAGTCTGCTCTGGGCTGGTTCCTCAGGCGGCATGCTGGACCCTGAGCTCAGACTGCTGGTGGCGTTAAGAGGACGCTGCCATCCACCCTCCGAGAAAGGAAAGCATTAGGGAATGGCCCACCCAGACGACGACCGGGGCATCCAGTTGCACCCTGGGCCAGGCAAAGCCGTGCCCATAGCTCCCGCTCCGCCAAGCAGCAGCTGCTGACGTCTGCCCCAAGCCCTCCTCAAGTGAACAGTAAAGACCATTGTTTATTTACGTCACACATCAGAGACTCACCGTGACGTCACGGAGACCAGACACATCACGTGGGGTCCGTGAGCAGCTCCGACTCCGGGCCACAGAAGAGGGCGGAACAGAGTCTTCCCGCTTTCTCTTGCGGGTGACGCTCCGAGACCTCCTCGCCTGGACTGCATAGTGGGCCTGCAAAGCAGAGAAGCAGACGTCAGCACCCAAGACCAGCCCTGCAGGGACAGACACTGAAGTACCGCAGGAGTCTTCAGAACCGTTGGCACATACCCAGCTAAGCATCTTGAAAATACAGTTACCTTTACATTAATTGCTGGTCAAATATTCTTCACTTATCGGACTCCCCTCTCAGACAGGGTCATTAGTGTGGCATCAGTTTATCCTTCGTCATAAAGAACTATCCCCTCCCTTCCCTTGGAGTTACCAGCTGAACGCAAAGTGACGACAGTCAGACCAAACACTCAACTCGGGGCAAGCGAAGTCACACAGACTGCACATCTGAGGACCTGTCTGAGGCGACACCCCGCCACGTCACAGCTCGGCCTCGCTCGGACCGTGGAGCTGCGGGCGGGTCCCAGATCACCTTCGATCACCTTGTCTGTGAAGGAAGGACAGCACCGCCACCTGGAAGGGCGCCGAGCCCAGTAGTCCACAGACACGCTCAGAAGCCACACGTGCACACGAGCTGAGACCACCGCCCGCTGCACCGGCAGCGCAGACACGGGACCAACACCCCAGCCTACCCCGAGAGCAAACCAGGGCCCTGTGGCTGACGCCCCAAGTGGCCGACCCACCCCCTCACACCAGACCCCGAGATAAGTCTCCTCCGGAGAGACGCCGCGTCTCCTCGTTTCTTGAAAAGACCCCACGTCTGCTAACGAAGCCGCGCCCACCCACGCCGACCCGGGACACTCACGTCGTCCTTGCCGTCCATGTCAACACCGAGACTGCGCATCTCACTCTCCAGAACCGTCCGCTGAACCTGGCAACGAAAACAAAGATAACTGTTTTAAAAAGACTTAGTTTGATAAAAATGTTATTTTTAAAATAAGTTTCAAGGGAAAATATATCTAGCTGGGACTACAGGGATGCACCACCATCCATGCCCGGTTATTTTTTCTACTTTTTGTAGAGAGGGGGTCTTGCTCTTGCTCAGGCTGGTCTTAAACTCCTGAGCTCAAGCAGTCCTCCCACCTCAGCCTCCCAGAGTGTTGGGATTACAGGTGTGAGACACTGTGCGTGGCCTTAACCAATACCTTTAAACTATGAATCATAAGTTACAATTTCACTTTGTACAACTACAAAATGATCTGATCTATAATACTCCTAAACTGGAAGCTGAAAGTCACCAAGAAAAGGCACAATGATCAGAATATAAAAGACCAAGACTCCCAACAATCTTGCAAGTCAATAAACCCCAACAAAACAAAGCATGTGCAACCTCGTGACCACAAACAGGCAGAAAAGTTGTATTTAGCAATGATTACATAAGAATCCAATTTGCAAAAAAAGAGGCCACACCTCTCTGGACAGACACAGAACTTGCCTTCTTAGCAGTTCGAGGCATCCTGGGTCCCTGCGTATTTTTTTCTTTGGATTCCAGGATTTTCAGCTTCTTTTTCTCTCTGATCTGCTTTGCCAGCTGCCGTATTTCCACCATCTCCTCATCCTCGCTCTCAGACTCACTGTCATACTCGCCAGCAGCCGTTCTCAGCTCTTCTTCTTTTTCTAACTCTTCCAGTTTCTTTAAAAATACAGTTGCAATTAAACAGAATTAACAATGAAAACCCCTGAGCAGCGTGCACGAAGGTGTGTGCCACAAGCCTCTGTGGACACACGGTGCCTCGGTCCGGTCCCAGCCGGGCGCCGTGTGCGTAGCTATCTCAGCACCACTGTGAGGACAAGAGACCACGTGAGCACCAGCCGGCAGCACCATGGTCTAACTGCCACGTGCCGCTCCCTTCTCTTCTTGAAACAAACCCTGAGGCTGAAAACCTGCAGGGGCCACCTCTCCCATCTTCTGATGCTCTGAGCAGAGGCACGGGGTAAACTCAGGTTTGTGAGAACCCAAATCTGAACAATACCCATTTATCCACTCTAATGTCACCCTAAATACAACCCACACTGGACACAAAGTCAGTAAGGCAAAAATGAACATTTATAACATGTGCGTGTATATCAAACCCTAGCAAACCAACCGAGACAGGAGCCCGACAGGCAGACGTGTTAGGTGGGGCTGGGAGGAGGGCCAGGCCACCCCCCCACAGCAGGACTGGGGGAGAGGCACAGGCTCAGCCAAGCTGCACAAGGGGAGCCACGGGACTGCCCAGCCTGGGGTGTGGGGGGCAGAGCAGGGGAAGGCAGGGCAGCGAGGGTGGTGAGCGTGGTGGCTGGACGCGGGGAGGCAAGCACGCTCAGAAGCGGATGGCGGAGCAGAGGGCACGAGGGTGGCCCACGCAGATGGCCACTCGGCAGGGCCTGAGGGACTCAGGATGCAGGTGTGGGGTGGGTGCAGAGACAAAACTGAAAACAGGAAGTGAATGAAGGAGGGCGTCCGGGAATCGGTGGACACGTGAGGACATGCAGACTGCAAGCACTCCACCCAGCACTTTGTCAAAAAGCTGGACTGGGAGAGGAAGACAGAACAGCAGCTGAAGGAGGGTATAGGGTATAAGAAAGTGCCTGTTTTTAAGATGAGAGAAACTTGACATTTATATGCCAAGAGAAAGCAAGTAGGGCAGGGGTCTGAGGTGGGAGGGAGTCCTCAGCGTCGGAGCAGAGGTGGTGGGAGGGAAGCAGGAGGCAGGGCCAGACCTGTCAGTGCCTCGGGGTGGGGAGGGGTACGGCACGGGCGCAGGAAAAATGGGGGCACAGGAGCAGGGGAGCCAGTCAGTGCTCACCTCCTAGTAGTAGCGTTAAAAAGGGAACACATAATTTAAAAAGCTACACAAACCTTCATGATGGCTGGATCAATATAATCAGCTACATTATGGCCTTCCCAAATCTCTGGTATCTTATCGTATTTTTCAGAAGAATTCATTAAATCCCAGTACTCTAGAGTTGAAAAAAAAAGTCACGCTTATTATAATTTTTAACATCTTCAAGTACAATGTGCCCCAAATGAGTTATGACTCTTAGCTCAAGTCATACCAAGCACCAATATTCAATACTCTCTATACATTACTTATTTCTTTACTTTTTAAGGCAGAGTCTCACTCTGTCATCCAGGTTAGTGTGCAGTGGCATCACTGCAGCTCACAGCAGCCACAAACTCCTGGGCTCAAGTCATCCCCTTGCCTCAGCCTCCCAAGTACCTGGGACTTCAGGTGTGCCTCACCACGCCCAGTTAATTTTTCTATTTTTAGTAGAGACGGTGTCTCACTCTTGCTCAGGCTGGTCTCCAACTCCTGAGCTCAAGTGATTCTCCCACCTCAGCCTCCCAGAGTGCTGGGATTACAGGCGTGAGCCACCGCGACCAGCCAAATACTCCGTAAGTTACTAACAACATCAACCTCGTTCAATGTGTGCATGCCAGGGAAACTACAAAAATAATCCTCTCAACCAAAAAAGAAAGAGACCTACCAAAGCCCTACGAAAAGTTTACAAATATCCTGGGAGACTTTTACTCATAAAGCCCTTCCCTCCTTTTCTGAAACACTTCACATGCTTCACTTCGCTTTATAGGAACAAATGCACCAGCCTTACTTTGAAGATCCAAAATATAATCATCTCCCATTTCCAGCTCCAGATCTCGTTCCTGCAATGGAAAGAAATGATCTCAGCTCTGTTTTACCTCCCTGGTCAGAAGCGCTGCGCCCCCACCCCTGTGCACATAACATACAGCCCCTGCTCCCCATGAGGAGAGGTTTGGTGACGCACCCTTTTCTTCTTGGGCTCCTCAACTTCCATTCTCTTCCTGCGTGCCACCACTCCTTCTGGGATGAACGGCGGCCGCTCCTGGGAAGATAGATCAGAAATATTTAAGCGAAACACCTAAATGAGAAAGAAACTTTAAAAAATGAAAAACTAGAAGCAACTCCCCTGTCTGCCAGAAAAATATAAAACCATACCCAGACCAATTACATAAGCAAAAAAACATGAACGTTCAGAAGAAAAACATAGTTTTAAAATACATTTGGAATGGACGCTGGGCCTCTGTCTGCCTGACACTAACCCAGCAGCCACAGAGAAAACATTAATATATGTTAACTATTCTAAAATACGTAATTTCTTTGAGGTTGAAAAAATACAAATACCCAAAAGGCAAGTGACAAAAAGAGAAAAATAGGCCAGGCGTGGTGGCTCACGCCTGTAATCCTAGCACTTTAGGAGGCGGAGGAGGGAGGATTGCTCAAGGTGAGGAGTTCGAAACCAGCCTGAGCGAGACCCCGTCTCTACCAAAAATAGAAATAAATTAATTGACCAACTAAAAATATATATACAAAAAATTAGCCGGGCATGGTGGCGCATGCCTGTAGTCCCAGCTACTCGGGAGGCTGAGGCAGTAGGATCGCTGAGCCCCGGAGATTGAGGTTGCTGTGAGCCAGGCTGACGCCACGGCACTCACTCTAGCCCGGGCAACAAAGTGAGACTCTGTCTCAAAAAAAAAAAAAAAAAAAAAGAAAAATAATATTTACAGGACATATGACAAGAATCCAATTTTCTTAACATAAAAATTACAAATCAACAAGAAAAGGATAAACCATCTGATGAAATGAATGGCTAAGGAGCACGTAAAATTGCTTAATGGCACTAATCACTGAAAAAACACACAACAAAACCATCTCCAAACTACTGAGACACACGTATGAAGATGGGCCCGCAATGTTCGCAATACCAACAAAGTGGAAATCGTACAAGACTGATGAGACACTTCCACCTGAGTTGCAAAAACGTTTTTAAAATCATGCTTCTGCACAGAAAGCATTTCTGGAAGGAGAAACGGGACTGAATGGCAACAGTAAGTGTCTCCGCAGAGCGAGGGCAGGTTTCCAAGGCACGTTCTTTCCTCCCTTCTCAGTTCTTTACGTGTGTGCACATAACCACACTATGCACGAGAAACCAAAGCCACACACAAACTCCATTTGGGCACATGGGAACGGGACCGTGATCCCCGGAAAACGCTCGCGGAGGGCGCCTGCTGAATGCACCAGCAGCGCCCCCGCGTGGCCTAGGTGCTCTCAGGCCGCCTCACCTTGTCGTCTCTCTTGCTGGGGACGGCCAAGTGCAGCCTGTTCAGCACCTCGTTCACCTTGTTGCCCTTCATTTTGGTCTCCACTCGGTGAGCCAAAAGCCGATCGCAAGCCTGATAAAGTAGAAAGAAGGCTCAGCTCGAGGACACACCCTCAGCCACGGGCCCAGAAGACCCAGAACAGGCCCCTGCTCACCAACAGGTGGCACCTGGGAACTCCTGCTCTCTCCCCTCCCCAGGTAACTACAGTGGCTGCAGACCATGCTCCTGGGCTCTCAGAAGGAAGAGGCTAAATCCTGATGCAGCCCCCTGGGAAAGCCACCCCAGCACCCTCCCAGGCCCCGTTTTGGGTCCTCCCAGTAAAGCAGGCACCTCCACACAGACCCACGGTGCCCTCCGTGCACCCTGCCTGGACTAGAGGTGACACGGCCCCTCAGGACAATAGCTCAGGCAACGGATCCCTGAGTAAAACCATAGAGGCAGAGGTGTCCTTTTACTTGAGATAAAAAATACCACAATGATGTAGAAAATAACTGGGAAGGCATGTGAAATCTAACAGGGGACTGCCTCCCCTCAGCTGTTTTTGCTTTAGACCACTTTTTTCCTTCCTACTTCTGAACAGGTTCCATAAAAGTACTTTTTACTGTAGGCGCTTTGGAAATATGAAAAGGTCAAAAGACACAGCAGTCATTTTAAGTTAAAACTGTCTAGCGTGGGAATCGCAAAGCATCCCCTCAAATCCACCCTCCCCGAGTGGGGTGGGAAGGAGAGCTCCCAGGAGTCATGACACCTGTCCAGCTACTGTGAGTGCCCCCAGTGTTACAAATACCTACAAGGAAAATACTTTTCCCTGTGACAGAGTCTTCTAAAACAAGAGACAGACAGCAAAGAGCCTGTGACCTGATTTAAGGAAGCACTGACCTCTGTTTTCACTTTGATAACACCTTCCTCAGTCAGGGTGCTGGTCTCTATCACAGGGAAGCCTTCAGCCTGCAAATCTATAAATAGTTTCTGAAAACAGAGGAGAAATTACAGGTGCATCATTATCTCCAGTTCCCGATGGAACAAGTTGTTCTGTTCTGCAAACGAAGGCTGCAAATGCCAATTGCTCAACATCTTTGACTTGTTTTTATGACTCTTTTAAGAACAGACATCTCCTAAGAAGTTATTTTTCCGTATATTCTTCTGTGATTGAGAAAATACAAATAGGTGACAGTGTGAGTGAGGTCAGCAAGATGGCCAATGAGGAGCCCCTCACAAAAAGTCAGAATGAGTAAACCATGACATTTTCACGAAAAACGAACGGTGGGAGAGCACCAGACTAACAGAGAGCCCCGTGAGCACAGAAACACAGGCCCAGGCGGGAGGATCGCTTCAGCTCAGTAATTCAAGACCAACCTGAGCAAGAGCGAGACCCCATCTCTACTAAAAACAGAAAAAATTACCTGGGCGTGGTGGTGTGCACCTGTAGTCCCAGCTACTCAGGAGGCTGAGGTTGCTGTGAGCTAGGCTGATGCCACAGCACTCCAGCCAGGGCAACAGAGCGAGACTCTGTCTCGCAAAAATAATAATAATAATAATAGAGTACCAGTCAAGAAACCTGCATTTTAGTTTGACACTAACTAGGTTTCTATTACATCCTGTCACCAAACCACTGAGGTTTATTATCTCAACTGTAAAATTAAATACTGGATTAGCATTGATGACATTCCTTCTTCCAACTTTGGCTGTCTGAGGTGACATTCAGAACTACTAAGTAAGAAATATGCAAAATGCCAGGGCAATATACCTGATCATCCTCAGGAAGTTCGGCTATTCTCTTCACGTCACACTTGTTTGCCACAATTATAAGAGGCTGGAGAAGGAAGAAGAATAATGAAATTAATACTTTCACAGTGCAACACATAAAGTGAAATGAGAGTCGCCACGCTCACCTTGTTGACGAAGAGTGGTCGGATGTTCCGGAAGAGCTCCAGCTGCTCCGTCAGCCCGTGCCCACACTGCTCGGACAGATCCATCACGTACAGCACGGCGGCGCGGAGGTGGGCCAGGGCCGTGATGGCCTGCATCTCGATGGTGTTGCGATCCTCCAAGGGGTGATCCAAGATCCCCGGAGTATCGACGACCTAATGACCAGACGTCGTTACTCAAAGCACACCCCCTCACAACTCCTCGTCCGGTACATCCCAGGAGCCATTTGCACAGACCAAGCCACACCTGACAAGACCTGTAAATAACAGGTAGGTCTCCAGACTGAACGTGATAAAGCAAACACGGCAGGGAGGGAAAAGTACATACTCTTTCTGATGCTGACATAATGCAGGGACCTGTACTAGTAGCTGGGGTTCCTCCTGAACTGCATCAGAGAAACATGAACTGCCTGTACAGACTCCCAAAGCCCAGACAAGTTTCCTGAATGGTGATGGAGAAATGTCGAGTCGTGGGCCTCAGGAAATCTGTCTCCCCACCTCAGAATCCTCCCTAGGGGACGCTGCACAGTCGGCTCTATGCAAAGTGCACCGACAGACGTATAGAACTGTCGTTCTGTAGAAATTATCAGAATCGAATTCCATTCACAACACCCCGAGACGCTTGTTCTGCTCACAGACCAGTCTCACCTGCCAGCGCAAATACTTGTAGTCCATGTGCCCAACAAACAGGGACTTGGTCGTGAATGCGTAGGGCTGGACATCCACGTCTGCTCTGGTCACCTGAAACAAAGCGACCAAACCTGCACGTCACACAAGCTCTGCACCCCATTCCTCTCCATGCAAACAAGACTATTTTTTTTTTAATAAAAGGAGACCTAGATGGAGTTCGAAACCAGCCTGAGCAAGAGCAAGAGCAAGACCCCGTCTCTACTATAAATAGAAAGAAATTAATTGGCCAACTAATATATATATAAAATTAGCCAGGCATGGTGGCACATGCCTGTAGTCCCAGCTACTTGGGGGGCTGAGGCAGAAGGATTGCTTGAGCCCAGGAGTTTGAGGTTGCTGTGAGCTAGGCTGACGCCACGGCACTCACTCTAGCCTGGTCAACAAGCGAGACTCTGTCTCAAAAAAAAAAAGGGAGACCTACAAATCTGCCCCAGAGCAAAAGTGCTCCGGGAACCACGTCAGCTGTACGTCTGACAACTTTCTCAGCAAGGTGAGCTGCTGCTGGCTGTGAATCCACATTTCAAATGCTGCCTCTCCTCTGCTCGGGTCCCTCGAGCTCAGCCAAATTGTCCTGAAGCACCGAAATGCTGAGTCCCCTCGATGCCACCCATGAATCCTAATTAATAAATCCACCCACATAAAGACTCAGTAACCCACCCCTATGTGGACCACGTAGCTCACGTGGAAGGTGACATGGCGGCTGAGGCCACAGATCCCCCAGGGTAGCTGGAGGCCCAGCTCAGTGAGTGTTGTCTGCCATTGAGCTCCCTGGCACAGCCACCACCAGGACAGGCGGACAGCACCCCCATGACACCCAAGTGTCAATGAAAATGCACTCAACGTGTCTAATAACCGAAAGAAAGGTTCTGCGAGAGCAATATGAATGCAGGTTCAGACAAAGCCAATCCTCCCCAAGAGGAAGGCAGGTGGGCTCACGGTCAGGCCCTGCAGCCCAGGGCTATGTTCACCAAGGCCACCCTAAACCCCACGCAGTCTGAACACAGCAGCACCATGACCTAAGATGGCCAGGTCATCTGCTTTCTAACCGAAAACAGACCAACCTTGTTGATGAAGCTGGACTTCCCAACGTTCGGGTACCCACACAGAAGCAGAGTCCTCGTGTTTGGATCAATGGTTGGCAAACGGGATAAATGCTGACGCACTGTGAAAAGTTTACGTGGAAAAATTAAGAAACGCCAAGATTTGCTTGAAATTTTCTCTTCAGTTTAGTTTTACACTCCAAGCCTGTGGTTATATTAACCCCACTCTAACTTTTACAATACAAAAGTGATGGGGAAGATATAAATTAATGAAAAAAACGATCAGTTGCAGAGACTAATGGTATATTCACGGTATATGCAATAGTATTTCCCATGTTTGGCAATACCAAGAAGCATATTCCTGGAGCTTATCCAAGCTGATATTTTGGTAACAGGTCAAAAGTGGGGCCAAAAACATGTCCAGATTATTCTCACTGAGGTGGTATGTGAAGAACAGTGTACTCTGAGGCCTGCAGGTGTGACTCTCCGGCTACAACAGGGGCTGTTCTGTTTAATCACCCCATCTGCAAGGCACAGCTCCTGAGTGGCACCCACTGGCTACTGAAGACCAAACTGACTGTGGGAAAGCACTCTCAAAGCATCAAGTATCATAACCCTGCTTAAAAAGTTTCTGCGAGGCCAGGCGCAGTGGCTCACGCCTGTAATCCTAGCACTCTGGCAGACCGAGATGGGAGGATTGCTCAAGGTCAGGAATTCAAAACCAGCCTGAGCAAGAACAAGACCCCATCTCTACTAAAAAATAGAAAGAAATTAACTGGCCAACTAAAAATATACAGAAAAAATTAGCCAGGCATGGTGGCGCATGCCTGTAGTCCCAGCTACTAGGGAGGCTAAGGCAAGAGGATAGCTTGAGCCCAGGAGTTTGAGGTTGCTGTGAGCTAGGCTGACGCCACGGCACTCTAGCCCATGCAAGTAATTCTTTCAACAAAATCCTACTAAATTGATTCAAAAACTATCCTACTGGCCGGGCGCTGTGGCTCACGCCTGTAATCCTAGCTCTTGGGAGGCCGAGGCGGGCGGATTGCTCAAGGTCAGGAGTTCAAAACCAGCCTGAGCAAGAGCGAGACCCCGTCTCTACTATAAATAGAAAGAAATTAATTGGCCAACTGATATATATATATAAAATTAGCCGGGCATGGTGGCGCATGCCTGTAGTCCCAGCTACTCGGGAGGCTGAGGCAGAAGGATCACTCAAGCCCAGGAGTTTGAGGTTGCTGTGAGCTAGGCTGACGCCACGGCACTCACTCTAGCCTGGACAACAAAGTGAGACTCTGTCTCAAAAAAAAAAAACAAAAAAAAAAAACTATCCTACTAAGCTTTTAAAAAATAAAAATGCCAATAAGCAAACCTATGAGCCATTGTATGTTTATATACTTTTCATTAATTTCACATCATTTAGTCTATGCCTTACCTATTAAACAGGAAAAAACATGAATTTTCTTAATCATACTACTAATTTGTAGCCACAAGTGCTAGGCATTTTTTTCAATAACAACTAGCTTATTAGAATTTCTTATAGGTCAGGCTAGAAACAGTAACTTGACCCTATGAACTCTCAAACAGAACAGCAACACAAATCTCAAGCATAAGTCCTCCACAAGGACCAGTCACCTCAGCAGAGCGCACTGAGACCTGCCCCCGCAGACAAGCGAGTACCTTGCTCCAGGTACTCCAGGCTCTGTTTCTGCCTCTTGATCACGGTGCACATCCGCCCCAGGGCCGCCCGCTTCAGCTGCTTGCAGCGGTAGAGAGAGTCGCCATACTTCATGAGCCGCACGTAGTCTTTAGCGACACTTAAAAAAAATAATAAAAAATATTAAGCTTTTTTTCACTTTTGATAAAACCTTAAAAGATACTATAGTAAAATAATACCTTACTTGTCCACTAGATTTTTGGCAATATTTATCTGTCCCAAAGCCAACTTGTAATGGTCCTTGTCGTAGAGAATATTCATCAAATCAGCATAAAACGGATGGATGTCCTGTAACAGACAAAACACGCACAGCGGTCATTTCGGTCCCACAGCTTCACACCCCCCCCCATGCAAATACCACCTGGCGAGTAACTTCCTCTCTCTCTCCACAGGCTGCGGCATCTCCTCCCCGGGCCCCCTCGCCTGGCCAGAGATCCTGCCAACCGGTCCTCCTGAGAAGCCGCCAAGCAGCAGAGGAAGGCAGGTGCCCACAGGCAGTACAGCCGTCCCCTGTCCCCTGTGGTAGCAGAGCCCCACCCACCTGCAGCCCACTGCTCAGGATTTAGCCAGAAACTCTTCCCTCCGCCCGGCCATTCCCATCCTTCCTCAGACTTTAAATTCCTCACCCCTCCAGCTCCCTGTGCCATCTCCCCACACAGACACCTGCTTCCCTCATGCAGCTGCACTTCCTTCATCTGACACATTGTGTATTTCCGCATTTAGTCTTTTCCCCAAGAGAACAAGGATGGGAACCTTCACTGCTGCCAAACCCCCAGTGCTCACAACAGCTCAGAACAGTTCCTAACACGTAACGGGCACTCGAGGAATGACAGCTTAATCTCACTCCACGCGGGCAAGTGCCTGACCTACAGCAGCGATTTCTGACTTTTATTTTCACTGTATTTTTTAACATAAACCATTATTCCTATTTTAAATATAAAACAAAATACTGTCACACAAGCCAACGCTTTCTCTCTGCCATCGCCTACCCTCAGGGACTACCCTGGGGCCGTGGTGAATTTAGGCTCTGCGACTGCACTGCTGACCCCCACACCCTTCTTGACCTCCAGCAACCCCGCAACCATGCTCCCTGACGCAGGAACGCCCCAAGATTCTGTTACGAGGCACTGCCAGGCAGTTTCTGCTCTTGCTTTTCTTTTCTTTTCTTTTTGAGACAGAATCTCGCTTTGTTGCCTAGGCTAGAGTGAGTGCCGTGGCGTCAGCCTAGCTCACAGCAACCTCAAACTCCTGGGCTCAAGCGATCCTTCTGTCTCAGCCTCCCAAGTAGCTGGGACTACAGGCATGCGCCACCACGCCCGGCTAATGTTTTATATATATATCAGCTGGCCAATTAATTTCTTTCTATTTATAGTAGAGACGGGGTCTCGCTCTTGCTCAGGCTGGTTTCGAACTCCCGACCTCGAGCAATCCGCCCGCCTCGGCCTCCCAGAGAGCTAGGATTACAGGCGTGAGCCACCGCGCCCGGCCTGCTCTTGCTTTTCTACAGCTGAAGAAAAAAACTGCAGTGTGTAGCAGAAGAAAGAGCTCAGCTTTTCTGGCTCAGTGCAGAAGGCACAGCTCCCCCGAGATCTCTTCTTGCCAGTGAAGAGACCGGTCAGTTCGGCACTGACCGTCACCAGATGATGAAGCAATGAGATCACAGTGGACCTGAAGCCACTGACCCACGCTGAGCCCAAAGGAAACAGAAGCGTCGGAAAGAAGGAGGTAAGGCCCAGACGAGCCAGTGAGCCGCCACAGGGCTCAGGCGTCAGAGTTCATGACCCCTGGCTTCCACACAGCATGTGGCCCCCAGAGGTTACAAGAAAGCCTGAGAAGAAAGTGGTGGGTCTCCTTAAGTGGGGCTTGGCTAGGGAAAGGAAAGCATATTAATGAATCCTGAAACCCACATTCTGCTCCGCTTTGTCGCTGACTTACTGAGTAGCCTCTGACAAGTCCATCACTTTGTTTCCCTTCCTGTCAAATGAGAAGCCAAACTGGCCACACGCTGACTCTCTGGAGGCTCGTGTCTGCATAACCATACACAAGCACGCAAGTCCCCAGTCACTTACGTCCAATTTGGGGAAATCTGTTAGAATTTGAGAGAGTCTGTCATGGTAATTCTGTTGAGTAAATTTGACTTTTCTCATGTAAAAATGTCTAATCCGATGAATTTGGTAATGTTTATGAATAACAGTTGGAGTCTTTCGTTGAGTCTTCGATAATGTCAGGTCAATAAAGTCCTGCAATTAAAGAAAATAAGATACAATTATACCAAAAATGTTTACTTTTCATCCACTTACTCCAAACCTTGAAACACTAATATCTAACAGTACTACATATTTGAAGCTACAAAAATTTACTTAATCTAACTCAATCTTTTATATACAACTTTATTCATCTTTAGCTTCTGGCCTTTAAGAAACACTTACCAAATGGCTGCAGGTAAAAAGTAAATTTTACCCTGTACTTTCTTAATGCCATCTTACCTCCAAATACCTAAGAACCCTTGAAACTTAAGTAGTCAGACAATTTAAGCATAAATCATAATAGTGAAGAAAAACAAACAATCCTTCCATTTCAATTTTAACCTGCATTATCTTTGACTTTGAAACAACATAAAATAACAGGTAGAACTAAAATCCACTGTTTATAATTTCTGCCCAGTGCAAACACTGGTGCTTCTCTATGATAAGGATCCTCCCCAGCTCCCCCAGTCCCACTGTCCTAGCCACACAAAGGTACTTGACTTTCCCTTGGACACTTTTACTAACTCCCACAAAAGATGATAGGAACACTCAGATACTGAAGACAAAATAATGAACAAGACATTGTCCCTTCCTCAGGGTCCAGTGACAGAGAGCAGTCAACAGGTGGTCACCACAGCCTGCCAGGTACTGCACTATGAGAAGCCCGCACGTGTACACCTCTGGGCCAACCCGGGAGATCCCCTCTGCATACTTTTCCACTCGGTGGAATTTAAGCATCCTTAAAGGGCCCATTTCTTCTTAAAAGTAAGAAATGTTAAATTATGAGAGGAAAGGGGGCTATGGTGACCCCCAGAATCCGAAAGCTCGTCAACGACCACGGGGACCTTCCTCCCCCGCAGGTCGGGGTCAACCTCCACACACCTGCCCCATCATCTCTGGCGCTCCTGCAGGGAACCCTACTCTGGGGGTCCTCAGTCTCGGGTGTACCCCAGGCTCTGGTGGACTCTGGTGTCAGGTGGACCCGGCCCCTGGGTACAGCCTGGTATCTGGGACATCTGGTCTCTGGAAGGGATCCTGTCTTTAGGGGCCCCGCTCTCGAGGGGACCCCGATCCCTGGGGGTGGGTCCCAATTCCTAGTGGCCTCCAGTCTCCAGAGGTCCCAGGTCTCTGGGGGCCCCAGTCTGTGGGGTTGATTCCAGTCTCTGGAGGGATCCTGGTCTCTAGGAGCCGCAGCCTCTGGGGGTTCCCAGTCTCTGGGGTGGATCCGGTCTCTAGGGACCTCCAGTCTCCAGAGATCCCCGGTCCGTGGGGTGGATCCTGGTCTTTGGGATGGGCCCCGGTCTCTGGGGCTCCCGGTCTCTGAGGTCCAGTTCTTTAGGACCCTAAAGGCGGCGCCCAGGACGCGGGCCCGGGATGAGGGCGGGCAGGCAGAAGGCGACCCCGCGCCCAGCCCAGGGTTACAGCCCCGTACCATCCCCGGAGCCCTGGCCAAGGCGAGAGGGGAGAGTTGGGGAGGCCCCCCGGGCCGCCTACCTTGGCGGACGGGACCACCGTAATCTTCTTGAAGTTGTAGTGCGCCATGCCGGCTGTGGTTGCACGCGGACTCTGGCACGGCGGGCGGGACTTCCGCCGTCAAGTGGGACTTCCGCCGCCGGGCGCGGGCGCTACGTCACTTCCGGGCGCTCTGCCGGCCGCGTCGCACAGCGCCCGCGTGCGGCCCGGAGGTCCCATGCCGGGTAAGTTGAGGGCGCGCCGGGGCGGGGGACGGGCGTGTTGGGGGCGCGCCGGGGCAGGGAACGAGCGCGTCGGGGACGCGGACGCGAGGGGAGGACCCCTCGGCTGGGCGCTGAGGCGAAACCCCGCTGGGCAAAGGCGGGGTCCGGAGCGGCCAACATGAGGGTTTCTGGACGCGGTTACAAGCCCTCAGCCGCCCGCCCTGGGGCGGGGTTCGCGAGTCGGGGTACCGGGGTCTGGGGGTTCGTCGGTCTGGGTTTGGGGGTCTGGGTGTTCGGGGGTCCCAGCGGCTTGGGGTTCTAGAGGTTTGGGGTTCCCGGGGTATGGGGTCTTGGGGGCCAGAGGGTCCGGGAGTCTGGGGCCTCTGAGGTTTGGGGGTTTCGGGGCCCAGGGCTAGACCCAGGTGAAGCCCAGTGTTTCCGCCGCCCCATAAACAATCATGTTTACAAACTATGCCAAAGGGACGACATTGTTGACTTATAACAGTAATATGAGGCCTGGCGTGGTGGCTCACGCCTGTGATCTCAGCACTCTGGGAGGATAGCTGGAGGTCAGGAGTTCGAAACCAGCCTGAGCAAGAGCGAGACCCCGTCTGTACTATAAATAGAAATAAATTAATTGGCCAACTAACATATACATTTAAAAAGTAGTCGGGCATGGTGGTGCATGCCTGTAGCCCCAGCTACTGGGGAGGTTGAGGCAGGAGGATCGCTTGACCGCAGAGTTGGAGGTTGCTGTGAGCTAGGGTGATACCACGGCACTCTAGCCGGGCAACAGAGTAAGAATCTGTCTCAAAAAAAAAAAAAAAAAAAGCTGACAAATCCCTGAATTCCGCAATTCCCCAAGAACCTCAAGATTGTCTATCAGCGACACCAGCACCCACTAGTGGACCTTTTTGAGAAGCCCCAGTGCCACCCAGCTCAAGCACGATCCACACTGTCCAACCAGGCCCCTAGTGCAGTTACTGTTCGCCACACTGGCTTGGTGACAACACAACCTCTCTTGCAAAACAAGGAAATAATGCCGAACCCAGTGGATGGTTCCCAGTTGCTAAGCAGCACGGACCAGAAGGCAGGCGGATAGAAATAGGAGGAGAATCGATGTACAGCTATTCCGCAATAAAATTGTATCTCCAGAACTTCAGCCATTGGTTCACAGGCAGGGTATAAATAAGGCAGAGACACGTTTGATGAATCTATATTAAAATTATAATCCAGCTGCCTTTTTTTTTGCGTGTAGTTTTTTTTTTTTGAGAGTCTCACTCTGTTGCCCAGGCTAGAGTGCCATGGCGTAAGCTTATCTCACAGCAATCTCAAACTCCTGGGTTCAAGTGATCCTCCTTCCTCAGCCTCCCTAGTAGCTGGGACCACAGGCATGCGCCACCATGCCCAGCTAATTTTTTTTTAAATATATATATGTGTTTTTAGCTGGCCAATTAATTTCTTTTTATTTTTAGTAGAGACAGGGGTCTCGTTCTTGCTCAGGCTGGCCTCGAACTCCTGACCTCAAGCGATCCTCCACCTCGGCCTCCCAGAGTGCTAGGAATGTGATGACTATTGCTAATAAAATTTTATTCCAGCACTTCACTGGGTTAGTGCAAGGTAATGGTCTGAGCACTGCTGTAAAGTGTGTTAAATGCCACATTTCTAATAACATCACCCCTTAGAAAGCTTGGTCATGCACAGCCTAGCAGTTTGGGGGGGGGTGAGAACTAGCCATGGAAAGAGACATAAAATACCAACTTATTGTGTATCTGTGAGCGTGAAATTGGGAAAGGGGTGTGGGGACCTACAAGGCCTCTTACCAGGAGCCATCTGCTTTTAAATCGTTCGGCCGCAAAAGGCCTGTCTGTGAAGGCGTGCACAGCGTGACTCACCCCGGGCTGGAGTGACACACTGTGATGAGGTCTACATGCACCGCAGCACCTGCGCCTTTCTTCCCTGTCCTGCCCGTGACTTTCCCGGCTGAGCGTGGCTTCCTGGGGGCAGGTGTGTGTGCCCCAGACCTCAGACTGCTGGTCCTCCTGAGGAGAGACCAGGCTGTCAGGCCCTTTTCTGAGTGAGGACCCTTGGACGAGCCACCTGCAGCTGCAGGAGATGGCCAGCGCCTGACCATTGACACAGGTCCCTGTGCTCAGAGCTCCTCCTCGGAGCAGGACTCAGAGTAGCCAGCCCGTGCCTCGGGAGGGACGCCCACGGCAAGCACCTCCTGGCAAAGAGCCTCGAGTTCCAGACCTGTTTTGTGAGACTGGTCTCCGTGTTGCTGTCGTTCTGACTGATGAAAAGTTTATCTTGGGCCGGGCGCAGTGGCTCACACCCGTAATCCTAGCACTCTGCGAGGCCGAGGCGGGAGGATTGCTCAAGGTCAGGAGTTCAAAACCAGCCTGAGCAAGAGCGAGACCCCATCTCTACTGTAAATAGAAAGACATTAATGGGCCAGCTAATATATATAGAAAAAATTAGCCGGGCATGGTGGTGCATGCCTGTAGTCCCAGCTACTCGGGAGGCTGAGGCAGGAGGATTGCTTGAGCCCCCAGGAGTCTGAGGTTGCTGTGAGCAAGGCTGACGCCAGGGCACTCACTCTAGCCCGGGCAACAGAGTGAGACTCTGGCCCAAAAAAAAAAAAAAAAAGAAAGAAAAGGAAAGAAAGCCGGCTAGAGCACATTCCCGGCGCAGTCGGGCTGTGATGTGGACTCTGTGGCTTCTGCACTGCTCAGGTGTCTGTCCGAGCTCAGGCTGTTCTCAGACCCCTGTGCTCACACCGAATGGGGTCAGAGCTCCACACCACACCGCAGGGAGGAAAGGCGCCAGGCCTCAAGCTTAATGACAGCCTGGGGCACTTGGACCTGGGGGCCTGTGGTTCTGGGCCCGCACACCCCGATCCTAAAGGCAGACTCTCCAATGAGCCGGAAGCCAGGAGACCAACTGCAGTGGAAAACTGCGCTGGCAGCCCTGGGGGCAGCAAGAGGACCCTTCATTCACCCTCGGGGTGTGCGCCCTCCAGACCAGGCGCTGCTGACTGGCGGCTTCCTGGCGCCAACAGAGGGAGGGAGGGAGCGCCAGTCGAGTCCACAGGAGGCTGGTCTGCATGTGTGGGCGCCTCTCAGGGCTGAGTGGAGGTTATGCGTAGAACTCACCGTAGAACTCACCGAAGGATAAAGGTGAAAGGTTTGCTCCTCTCGTGGTTTTCCTGTCATAGGACACTGGAGACTCAAGAAAAGGGGTGATTTCACCGGAATGGCGTTACTTAGCTGAGCGGATTTTGTTTGTGTTAACGCCAGTTGTGCACAGTGTCTGTCAGCCCAGTCCTGCGGGTCTTGTCAAGTCCTTTTTATTTTTTATTTGAGACAGAGTCTCACTTTGTTGCCCAGGCTAGAGTCCTGTGGTGCCAGCCCTGCTCACAGCAACCTCAAACTCCTGGGCTCAAGCGATCCTCCTGCCTCAGCCTCCCCAGTAGCTGGGACTACAGGCATGATGCACCACCATGCCCAGGGACTTTTTCTATATATTTTTAGTTGTGCAAATAATTTCTTTCTTTCTTTCTTTTTTTTTTTTTTTTTGAGACAGAGTCTTTCTTTGTTGCCCAGGCTACAGTGAGTGCCGTGGTGTCAACCTCGCTCACCGCAACCTCAAACTCCTGGGCTTAAGCGATCCTCCTGTCTCAGACTCCCAAGTAGCTGGGACTACAGGCATGCGCCACTATGCCCGGCTAATTTTTTTTTCTATATGTATTAGTTGGCCAATTAATTTCTTTCTATTTACAGTAGAGACGGGGTCTCGCTTTTGCTCATGCTGGTCTGGAACTCCTGACCTTGAGTGATCTTCCCGCCTCGGCCTCCCAGAGTGCTAGGATTACAGGCGTGAGCCCCCCACGCCTGGCCCTTGTGGAGTCTTAAATGGAGCCACAGGGCAGCTGCTGTTTCAGCCCCATGGAGCTGCGATCCCACAGGGCAGCCATCGGGGAAGGCAGCGGTGGCTGGGGGGGCCGCCCTCAAAGGAGCAGCCGCCATGCCCTGCAGAGCGTGCAGAGCCGAGAGTGTAGGCTTCGGCTCTGAGACCCGGCTGCACCCAGTGACACCGGGCAGACTTCTCCACTTCTCTGAGCCTCCTCGTCTTTCCCCGTGACTGGGGCAGTGACAGCCCCTACGGAAGAGGGTTAGTGCGAAGCTAGAATGAGACACCCTGTAGTGTCTCCACGGTGCCTGGGGCCTGGCAAGTGTGCAAACCATTCTCTGTCACCAGCTGTGTGTTGTCACGTGTTACCTGCGTTCTCATGACTGGTTCGTCACAATAACATTCCCTACGCTTTTGTCCTGTTCATCGAGTTCTAAATGAGCCGTGACAGGTGCTGCGCAGGGAGCCCCCCACAGGTGCCAGGTAACTAGTTCTGCTTCTCCCAACAGCACGGCGTGACAGTCTCCCCGTGACGGGCGAGATGGCCGGCTTTGGGGTGGGCACGTGCCCGCGCAGTGCCACAGAGCCGGTGAGCGGCTCTCCACCGGCACTCGCCCTGCCGCACTGCCCTCCGGTAGTGGCTTGGCCTGGGCCTCTTTGGAGTCACAGCCGTGTGTGCGTGCAGAGGAGGGTGCGTAACAGGTGGCACTTGGGGTCACCGGCTGTAAGTGCCCCCGCCCTGGCCGGGGCTCCTCTGTGAGAACGCTCAGTGCCTGCCCTTGGGACGTGGCACACTGCCTGTGCTGACACCCTGTGCCCTTGCTCGGGCCAGAGCTGGCGATGGGGGTGTCTCCGCGCGTCACCCGTGAGTCACTCCACTGACGAACTGTTAAACGCATTATTCACATTCTGCCTTTCCACAAAGGACCTATGGGTTTTGTTTTTTTTTTTCTTTTTTTTTGAGACAGAGTCTCACTCTGTTGCCCAGGCTAGAGTGAGTGCCGTGGCGTCAGCCTCGCT